GGCGTACCTGGGGTACTCCGTCAGGGGGGGCAAGCGACCGAAACAAACAAAAAAGGCGATGCTAATTTTCACTTCTGGCGAGCGAGCGAGCAAAAAAAAATCTTTAAGTAACGTTTGGTATATAAACTGGTATTGTTGCAAGTTGGGGGTGGGAACATTCATTTGTTAGCGACGTTAATTTCATTTTTTTGCAAACTAGTGTAGCGAGCAAGAAAAAAATCACTTCTTTTTTAATAATTGCCACTTAAACTTGGTTCAATTGTCCCATGCAGGGCGCGGGAACAATATTGTGTTTAGGGTGATTTTATACCCATTTTAGCTAGCGAGCGAAAATACATCTTTCTCTCAATGAATTGCTATATAAAATTTGTTTCATTGTTGCAGGTAGGGGCGGGCACAATCGTGTTTAAGGCAATGTCAATCCCATTTTGGCGGGCAGGCAACCCCCTACATTTCTCTTTTTTAATGATATTGTAGCAGGTTAGTGGTGGGCACATAATTCCACGAGCTAGCGAGCGTAGCGAGCGAGAAAAAAAAAATCACTTTTCTTTTATAGGGAAAATATGGTACATAAAACTTGGGTTCATTGTTCCATGTCAGGGACGTGATTATTAAAAGCGGTGTTAATTCTATTTTGGCAAGCGAGCGTAGCGAGCGAGCAAAAAAAAATCACTTCTCTTTATAGGGAAAATATGGTATATAAACTTGGTTTAATTGTTCCATGTCAGGGACGTGATTATTAAAAGCGGTGTTATTTCTATTTTGGCGAGCGAGCGTAGCGAGCGAGCAAAATTTTTGTAATGATAATTGGTTCATAAATTTCAGATTTTTTTGTTGCAGGGCAGGGCTTACACAATCATGTCTAAGGTGATGTTAATTCCGTTTTGGCGAGCACGAGCACACCAAAACTTCTTTGAATAACGTTTCGTACATAATTATTAACTGGTTGTTGCAGGTTGGGGCGGGCACGTTAGCGGTGTCAATTCCATTTTGGCGAGCGAGCATAGCGAGCAAGCAAAAAAAATAAATTCTCTTTTAATATAAATTAATAAATAAACTTGTTTTAATTGGTGCAGTTTAGGATGGACGCAATCGCGTTTAACACGATTCAATTCCTTTTTGGCGAGAGGGCGAAAAAACTCTTCCATTTTTAATGATATTGTTGCAGGTCAAGGGTGGGCACATTGTTTCCAAAGCAATGTCTATTCATTTTATTCGCGAGCGAGTGTAGCGAGCGAGAAAAATGAATTAGTCTCTTTTAGTAACATTTGGTACATATATTGTGTGTTATTGTTGCCATGGTTGCAGGTCGGGGCCCGTCGGGGCAGGCACAATTGTATTCTAGGCAATACTAATCCTTTTCTTTTTTCAGGGGGACGAGGAAGTGAAAACATTTAATACAAAATAGGCTAGCAAGCAGTTCGCGCCAGCGAAGAGTTTCAAATTTGTTATATCACTTATATTTTCCTATTTTCATTTGTTTTAATTTTTCAGGGCCGTATGCGGAATATTTTTCTGATGGGGGAAGGGGGAAAGATGCGTTAAAAGTTTTCGAAGAATCTCAAAAGCAAAAGGAGTGAAGGGAGTTCGAGCGACCGAACTGGTCATGAGGGTACTTTTGCATTTTCAAAAGTAGAATTGAAGGATTTGGTATAGGCCTACACTACATTTTCAGGAAAAAAACTGTACGATTTCAAAATATCTGGGGTCAACTGCCCCCCCCTGGTGCTTACGGCCATGTTCTTTATTTTTTCCCCCATTTTTATTCCTTTCCTTTTCTTTTCCCTTTTTCTTCCTTTTCTCTTCTTCTTCCTTTTTTCTTTCCTTTTTTTCCTTTTTTCTCTTTCTTTCCTTTTTTCTTTCCTTTTCCTTTTTTCTTTTTCTTTTCTTTCCCTTTCTTTTCTTTTCTTTTCTTTCCCCTCTTTCTTTTTTTCCCCTGGAGCCCGTCAGGGGGGGCACTCTGCCCCCCCCTGCCCCCCCATAGGTACGCCAGTGCAAGCAGCCCTAGATGGAAAGGGTCTGAAAGTGAATGCCGGAAAGTCCAAGGTCATGGTGTCTTCTGCTGATGCAGGTGAGACAGAGAAAACAGGAGAATACCTCTGCGGAGTTTGGTATATAAGTGTTGGAGCAAACTTAATCAGATGCACCAAATGCAGGAGCTGGGATTCAGTCAGACGTTCATATGTAAGAGATGCTTAGGTATACATTCTCGCAGAAATGTACCAGTAACAATGTGACAGGTGTGGATCTCCATGGAACAACGTATGATGAGATGGAGAAGTTCTGCTACCATGGAAACATGTTGGCTCTCAAAGGAGGAGAGACAACAGATGTGACTGCTAAAAATTCAAAGCGCTTAAAAAAAGTTTTGTGAACTCTCTCCTTACCTCACCTCAAGGGCGATCCCTTTAAGAGTTAAAGGGAAGGTGCACGCTGCTTGTGTAAGAAAATGAATGACGTAGGGGAGCGAAACATGGGCAATGAAATCGTCCAGTGTACAGCGCATGGAGCTAAGATGTGGATGGTGAGGTGGATTTGCGGGGCGTCACTTTAAGAGGAAGAACGAAGTCCTTCTTCAATTAATGTGATTGATGAGGGTGGCACATGTTATGAGGATAAATGGACTAAGATGGTTTGGACATGTGGCAAGAAGAGAGGCAACACACTGGCTCCAGAGGGCTCTAAACTTTCTGGTCACCGAGAAGAAGACCTCGCGGGAACCAGGGATAACTTGGAGGCAGGGTTAAAATATTTGTTTTGTCCGCGGGGGCTCTTCCCCCCAAAAAGAGCCCCCGTGAGCCTTCTCACAAACAAATTTCCATTGAATTGGTTTCTATGATACTCCTCAATTCTTTGGTATTTCATCATTATCATTTATTTAAGTCAGCATTTTCCCTCTTACAAATTTACAAGCTACATAGCTGTTAATGACTTTCATCCCGTGATGACATCCTCTCGATTTCTTCCCGTTCTGCACATTATTTCCTCCTCATCATTCGGAGCAACCTTTACATTCTTCCTTTACTGAGCCGCGTTGCGGCCAGGCTTTTTTGGGGGGAGCTATTTTGGACACCCCAAAAGTAATGTTTTCCTGGTATCTACTTACATGCGAAGCATCGTCCACGAGCCGCATGGTGGCGAGGCGATTTTTTTTGTTGCTATTTTGAACCCCCGTAAGTGATGTTTTCCGGGCATCTACTAACACTTACTAATACTGTGTGGGTCTGGATGGCGTTTTTTTTATGCACATCACATTTTCATTTGGCAGCCCAAGGGGGAGGGGGGGGGGGGTGGAATTAAACCCCCTAACTCCCCGTAGATCTGCCCATGTTACCATATCTTTCCACGACATCTTAGTCTTCCTCTTATTCTCAATAGGGACTTTTAGATGGACGTGGACGTGTTACGTCCTTTTAAGGTACTGGCAGTCACATGCAACGTCCTTTTAAGCACTGGAAGTGCCTGAAAAGGAGGTCACACGTTGCAGTTCACGTTCTTGTTGTGCAATCTAAAAGTCTCTAATATTGATTTACTGGCCGAGGTCCATTATTTGCTTGTCATTTGAAATCACCAGATTTCAGCGGATTCATGATTTTGACCACGTTTCAGCCCTTCCGCGATCGTCTCCAGCTCCAGCAGATAAGGGGCGGCAGCGTGCACACGTAATGTTACTAACGGCGCAGTAGGCCTATATAACCACTGTACTAGCTGCACTGCGAACTTCCGTTGTTTGAATCGGTTATAATACTCATAGAACGAGAATTCTTGCACGCTAAAATAACTTCCATTTCATTGGTTTAAGGTTTGAAAATTGAAACTCAATATTGTGTTAAAGTTATAACAGAAAAGATAATCTTTATTTTGTAATTCCACGGGGGCGATTTTTAATTTTGCAATCGCCCCCGAGCCCCAGGTGAGCAACCTGACGGGAGAGATTGTGTAGCTCACGGGGGCGAATCGCCCATCGCCCCCTGTATTTTGAGCGTTGCTTGGAGGGAAACCATCTGGTATCAGTCATATGGATCCCACAGACAGGAAAGCTTGGAAAGTAGCCATTAAGGAAATGAAATGTCCAACCCTACAATGTGGGACACATGGACTTTAAACGCTGATGATGATGATTATGGCCCTTTTGAGGCTTCTTAAATTTTGGGGGTTTCTTAGCTGGCCACCAATGAACATTTTAACTCATTTTAATGTATTCTCCGCCCCGAAAAACCATGGTATATACACCAACATTATTTCTCTATGATGGATAATAAGTGATTTATGGCCATTTTGTGGTATCGGCGGCCATCTTGGACGCCTTCTTTAAAAATAAAAGCTTTCTGGACCTTCGATTTTGGTCTACTTTCAGTATGTTATATCTGAGGTCGAATACTACTAGAAACCCTTTAAAAACCCTTTGTTGCAATTTTTTGGGGTGGGGTATTTTTTACCATACATTGACCCGACTATACATTGACTCGAAATGTGGTGCTGGCGCAAATTACTAGGTGTGTCTTGGAGGGACAGAGTTTCGAATGAAGAGGTGTTGCATCGAGCTCAAGAAAGGCGGGTGCTGATTCAAACGATTAGAGAGAGAGACAGAAGAAATGGCTTGGACACATAATGCGGCATGATGAGGGCTTGATGCTCAGAGTCATAGAAGGTCGTATTCATGGAAAGAAGAAGAGGGGAAGACCTCGTAAAGGCTCTCTAAACGATTTAATCACACAATGTGGAGCGACGGGGTATGAGACGATCAAACGGTTGGTTCAAGACCCAGAAACTTGGAGAGGGGCTTGGAGAGACACTTGATATGGAATTTTTAATGGGTCACTGAACCTGTCATGAACTGACAGATCACTATTGATGATGATGACCCGACTACTGCTCTAGTCCGTTGCTTAAATGATTTTGCGGTGAACCTTATGAGTAGGCTTCTTTGTTTAGAGCGCAGGAAGTAGCATGAACGACAAGCGAAAAGGACGTTAGAACTTCAGTTCTCTATATCTTACCCAAAAGGTTTAAATGTACAGACAAAAACAGGGCAGTGTATCACCGTTCCTCCCGTAATCCTTTTGCGATTATCGACTCCACGCTTGCCACCTGAAAAACAAAAACATTAATTAAAAAACAACAACACTATTTTGACTCCATGTTTTTACTTTTGCCACTTACAAGTTCAAAGATGAAGTGGATTTTCTTATAAATCTTAGATAATTATGGTTGATATCTCCAGGGACGTTGCTAGAACATGTAAAAAGGTTGAGGGGCTGACACCCAGATTTTTAAGGAGTGACACCCAAATTTGCTGACATGTATTTTGCACTCTACTCTACGCCCCACATTTAGACGAGGACATTTACTACCACGCCACTATTCGAATTTGATAAAGCCCACTAGACACTATACTACTTGACTGCAACCCGATCTTGGTAGATATTGGAATAATTACCATAATATATGAACACATTTTTGAAATGGTAAATCGAAGTTGTTGAATATTGCCTTTCAATTTGGGACATTGGGGAAACTCAAATTTTTACCCTGCATTTTTCGCGTTGTCATGACATTTTCGATAATTTATGATTATCTAATATTGCGAGGTCGCGCTTTTACAGATGACTTTTACTATGGTGAGGTTCCTGTATTCCAACATTTTTGTTCTTATCATATTTTATTTATTTATTTATTTATTTATTTATTTCTAATATTTTGACAGGGTAGCCCATTCACCAACAAGTAGTGGTCTTCCATGGGGCTCTGAATGAACATATTTACATCGTTTATAACATTTATACAGAACAGTTACAAAAATAATACTCGTTTGCAAAATAAATATAATCATTAACCTAGTAAACAGTAATTTCAATAGGAAAATATTAATTAAGTCGCAATTATGTGAATAAGTCATGTAAATATTACAGAACATGCACGCAGTGTATTTACGGCTGAGCCATTCACAAATTACAACTTTGTTTAAACAATCTCTTAAATGAATTGACAGAGGAAGCCGTTCTCAATGAATTATCTAGCTTATTCCATTCAAATATGGAAGAAACAATTGGGCTACACTTATAACAATCAGTGTGAAATCTAGGCACACGTAAACATCCACTGTCTATTTGCCTTGTATGATGCTCATGTACATCATTAGGATTGATTAAGCCTACCTGAAGGTAAGAAGGTGCTAAGTTATGAACGCATTTATATATCATCATAACGCGACTTAACTCAAACCGCTTGTCTAGTGCCATCCATTTAAGACTTGTGAACAAATCAGCCGACGGTGTGTCATATGTCTTGTTCAATATTATTCTTGCGGCCCTCTTTTGAATTTTTTACAGCTTAGTTGTATGAGAATGAAATCGGTTCGACCATACAACAGAGCAGTAATCTAATCGTGGCAACACTAGACTGTTATAAAGTAACTTTAAGGATTTTTGAGGCAAAAAACTTTTTGCTCTCTTTATCATGCTAATGTTTTTCTGGGTAAGTTTACTTACGTTTTCGATTTGTTTAGACCATTTCAATTCTTCATCTATCAAAAGTCCTAAGCATTTGGTGAATTGAACTCTTTTGATCAAATTGTCGTTTAATGAAATGGTAAAAGATTCAATTTTCTTGAGATTAGCAGGAGAGCCTATTAACATGACACAAGTTTTTTCAGTGTTAAGAACAAGACGATTTTCCTTAATCCATGCCATGACTCTGTTTAACGCAACAGTTAATTTTTCTTCCACAACAGTTGCATCATTTGCACTGACGGTAAGTGTCGTATCGTCAGCATACATATCTATGATACCTTCAGGAGTATATTCAGGTAGACTATTAACATATATTGAAAATAAAAGGGGACCAAGAATTGAACCTTGTGGCACACCTAATTTGATGGTTGATGGATGCGACTTGGCTCCTTTGAATTGGGTCACTTGTTGTCGATCCCCTAAATATGATTTGAACCAATAAATAGTCCTATTACTACAACCCATACAAGCTAGTTTATGTAGAAGTAGCTCATGGTCAATAGTATCAAAAGCCTTACGAAGATCTATGAAGGCAACTCCAGAAATTATATGATATGATATGATTTAAGTATGTTAATTTGACTATGACACTTACATATCTGGGGTATTAACTCTTCCCTTATTAGCCTCACGTCGAGGCCTCTAGTTCCTCTATCGTCCATGATATGAATACGGTCTGTAATGGGGATCTTCTGTTTAATCTTTGTTCCCTGGGTGGCCATTGGCATCTCGCCGGCGCAATATTCGTATGTACCTGCGTAGGAAAGAAAGTTTGAAGGATGAAAACAGCATATTTCAATACATTAGGGGCATTCACACGCTCCCACATTAATGGCATTCACAACGATGAAAAATAGTATTTTTCAAATAATAGTTTAATAATAATAATAACATTCAGCTTTTATACAGCGCTTAAAACATCTCGGACGTCTCTAAGCGCTTTACAGATATACTATTACCCCAGTCATTGGATTCAGTGCTTGCCCGCACACACTGTGTGCACAATCTCCACTCCCTGTTTGACCAACAATGAAGGTCGTATTCTACCGGGTACCCATTTTAACAACTGGGTGGAGAGTAACAAGTGTAGGTTAAGATCTTGCCAAACTTTATCAACAACATGTTGAATAGGGGAATCAAAAGAAAGAACCAAGACTGTTTTCGTGATGAAAATAATAAGAAACTTACAGATCCTGTTGATATCGCAAACAAATTCAATGAATATTTCATAAGCATTGGGACAATGTTTACAGATATAAGTAATATTGACATGCTGAAGTGTAGGTCTTATATGAATGGTCAATATCAACAGTCAATGTTTCTGAAACCAACAGAAGGTCATGAAATTATAGATATAGTAAAGGCATTGAAAATAGGTAAAAGTCCTGGTCATGTTAATATAACTGTTTCTGTCATTAAAGAATCAATCTATTTCATTCTTGCTCCACTTGTACACATATTTAACCTTTCCCTCTCCACTGGTAAATTCCCTCACAGTATGAAGCTAGCAGGGGTGACTCCGATCTATAAGAAAGGCTCTCTCGATCAGTTTTGTAATTATAGACCGGTGTCACTCTTGCCCGTTTTCTCCAAAATCTTGGAAAGATTATTTTACTCTCGATTATTGTCTTACATTGAGAAACGAGGGATTCTGTCAAATTTTCAATATGGCTTCAGATCTGGTCATTCAACTATACTGGCCTTGACATATTTTTTGGACCAAATACTTACTTCCCTTGACGAAAGCAAACATTCACTTTGTTTGTCATTAGATATTTCAAAGGCTTTTGACTCAATTAATCATCAAGCCTTATTATCCAAATTGGAGTACTATGGTGTGAGGGGTCTACCATAACAGTGGATAAAGGATTATTTAAAGGAAAGAAAACAATATGTTGTTTATGATAATGCAACTTCATTTGAAAAAGAACTTGTATGCGGAGTGCCCCAAGGGTCAATAATCGGGCCACTGTTGTTTATTCTATATATAAACGATTTGCCAAATGTTTCCTCAACTTTGTCATACATTATTTTTGCAGACGATACCAATGTCTCTTTAAGCGAGAAGAAACTAGGTACTCTTGTCCATAATATGAATAAAGAAATACAAAAGGTTAATATTTGGTACAAAGTGAATGGGTTAAGGATAAACATTGAGAAAACAATGCGTTATGCATTTTGCACCATTGAATAAACAATATGATAAGAACTTACTTACTCTTAAGTTTGTTGATTCACTAGAGCCCTTAAAGCAAGTGCATAGTGCCTGCTTCTTAGGAGTTAATATTGATGACAAGTTATCATGGTCTTTACATATTAATGATATTGCATTGAAGATCTCGAGAATTACTGGAGTTATGTCAAAACTGAAATTTGTATTACCGTCAAAAGTACTGCTTTTACTAATTAATTCATTAATTCTACCCCATTTACAATATGGGAATATGCTATGGATAAATACATCAAATACCTTATTAAATCGTTTACATTTGTTGCAAAAACGTGTAATACGCATAGTTGCCAAGTCTCATTATTTGGCCCATACCAACAATATCTTTAAACAATTAAGGGTTTTGACTGGTTCTAGGACAATTACCCCCTGGGCAATCAGCCCCCGGAAAGTTACCCCCCGGAAAACTACCCCCCAAGGACAATTACCCCCCGGAGAATTACCCCCCGGAGAATGACCCCCCGAGGACAATAACCCCCTAAGGACAATTACCCCCCGGACAATTACCCCCCCCGGAGAATGACCCCCCGAGGACAATTACCCCCCAAGGACAATTACCCCCGGAAAATTACCCCCCGGAAAATTACCCCCCGGAGAATTACCCCCGAGGACAATTACCCCCCAAGGATAATTACCCCCCAGAAAATTACCCCCCGAGGACAACTACCCCCGAGGACAATTACCCCCGAGGACAACTACCCCCGAGGACAATTACCCCCCAAGAACAATTACCCCCCGGAAAACCACCCCTTGAGGAATTACCCCACGAGGACAATTACCCGCCCCCGAGGACAATCCCCCCCCTGGGAAAATCAGGATTCAATAGCAAAAGACGATCTGACACGTTGAGAGATGCTGTGAAGGCTACGAGCCCATAAAATCCCGTGCATGAACCCACATTCGTTCAAATACTTGCGCGTGATCTTCCTCATTACTACACATTTTTCTTTAACTATAATGTATGCAACAACACTGTGGTTGCTGTTTTCTACGAAGGATTTCTCTTGTGCAGCGTTATTTCAACTTTTTGTTCGACACGATGCCCTCTTAAGAAATGAAAAGTTTCGCCCAATCTTAAATTCTTCACAAACTATTTATTTTGCATCACTCTGGCACTCGTCAAGTGCTATGTACACACGTATGGGCACATTTGTTTCTTGGTTTAGTGAACGAGCAAGAAAAACAAGGACAAGACATTTTCAAAATGGTAAAACATAATGTTGTAATCAACACACTAGCACAGATTTAAGGTATGCGGGCGCCTCACCGCCGAATGTACACGAATATAAAGTGAAATATTCGGTCATGACCTTGATACACGAATATGAGGATATTCGGGCCTCTCGTTGCCTTGATTCATCATGTTTATAATTGTGATGAGTGTGGTAACAATGTAATGTCGAAATAAAAGATATATATTCGCAAAATATTGTCAGCGAGCGAGGAAGAAAGACATTTTACCCGTTTCTGGTATTTGTTTTTCACAAAATCAACGTTTGCCAAAAACAATTGTCATGTAACTAACATTCTCTTGCGGCACCCCAATTGAAAAAAACGCTGCTCTGGAATTACAAAATCATTGAGATGAATGTACCCAAGTGCGGATACTTATTTTCTTTTAATATGGCACCGTACATACCATATATTTAACTTGAAGGCAATTTTTATTTCAAAATAAATCACAGTACAAGAAAACATATTTTAGTTCACCATGACAACAGAAATATATATATATATATATATATTACATTACATTTATAAACATGAAGAGAACCTTAATTTTGGAATAGATCATGGATGAGGGCCCATTATACATACAAAGACAAATATACGATCAGCTGATTAGAAAAGTTACAGAGTATGCATAAATAATGATATCTTACATCCTAATTTCTTTGTTGGGCCATTTTGGGGGAGACTAGCTGTATTAACGCGTACTCATCTGCGCGCAATGTATTGTTAAATTTCTAAGAAATGTAAATTCCGTACTTTGATTTGATACATGCGTCTTCTGGCAATTGAATTCGATTTGATACATGCGTCTTCTGGCAATTGAATTTGATTCAATACACGTGGCATATTAAGTCATACTTTACAAAGGTGGAATGGATACAGAGCGAGAGGGGTGGGTGAAATCTCCTCCTTGGAGGATACATGTACGTCAAGCAAAAAGATTTGGCAGATGGGTACGAGGGCTTTGAATGTGAGCTACGAATATAAATATAATTTATACACAACCCCTGTACGAAACAAATCTATTCCGTCATAAATAACTAAGAAAATGAAAGTTCGTGACATTTTCTCTGAATAGCAATTTGAAGAGAAGCTCGCATTATACGTCACAGTGTTACAAATTCCCTTGGTGTGATTGACCTCGGGCCGCGGTAATGGTGTTTCGAGGGGGGGGGGGGTAATTGTCCTGGGGGGGTAGTTGTCCTCGGGTGGTTATTGTCCTCGGGGGTAGTTGTCCTCGGGGGGTAATTGTCCTGGGGTAGTTGTCCTCGGGGGTAATTGTCCTCGGGGAGTAATTGTCCTCGGGGGTAGTTGTCCTCGGGGGGTAATTCTCCGTGGGGTAATTTTCCGGGGGGTAATTGTCCTCGGGGGGTAATTCTCCGGGGGGTAATTTTCCGGGGGGTAATTGTCCTTGGGGGGTAATTGTCCTCGGGGGGTAATTCTCCGGGGGGTAAATTTCCGGGGGGTAATTGTCCTTGGGGGGTAGTTTTCCGGGGCGTTATTTTCCGGGGGGTGATTGCCCAGGGGGTAATTGTCCTGATACGGTTTTGACTGTATATGAATTAGGTAGATTACAACTGGGAGAATTTATGTACAGGTCTGAAAAGGGACTATTACCAAACTCTCTTTAAAACTGGTTTAGATGCAACAATGATGTACATTGTTATAAGACCTGAAACTCCAAGAATTTGCATAGCATTTATTACAGAACTGCTACTGGCCAAAGAAATGTTAAGTACCAGGGTTACCTTACATAGTCTGCTTTAGATGACAGTCTCAAACAATCCGCATCATTACGACAATTTAAATTTAAATATAAAAAATACCTCTGCAATTCTAAATAATTATATCAATCTAAAAAATAATTAATATTATGTTTCAAATCGCAATTATGTTTTCATCGGGTCAATTTAATCTAATTATAAAACCAGACATGTGAAGGGAGAGTCCACCCTGAGGATGGGTTTACTCCGCCTTTACTTGGCCACAAACATTCTCAGGGTGGACTTCCCCTTCATTGCTACCGGGGCTAGACTCGATAAGCTTCGCTTTTTCTAGCCCCATCTACATTACTCACCTTTTTATGTTTTAATGTTGATTTTTGTTAACTGATGTAGATTTTCATTGTTCTTTTATGCTTATGTATCTGTTTTTCATTTGCTCTATGTGTCAAATGTATAAAATGTATTTTCTTACCTTGTATATTCTTCTGGTTTTTAATGTGGAAAATAAATGAAATGAAATGAAATATTTAATAGTAATACTATTTCATCATGATAACATTCTCATTACGATTCAAGCAGATATGGCAATTTTTGCCGTAAAAAAATCACAGTTGTGCTTGTACAATTTTTTTGAGCCGCTTTACTTACCAGTGAAAGCTTGCTTAATAGAATCGGCAAAAGCAGATTTTCCACACCCAATAACGCCATACAGTCCAATCCGAACTACTTCTGGCCTCGTCTTATCATGCTTTCTGTAATTTTTCAGATCCTCTCTGAGTTTACCCAGCTTCTCTTTGATGTTACTCAGCTCATTTGACTCTGTTTCTGCAAAAGCAAAAGCTAACAGGAAAAGAAGCAGATAGATGATAGAACTTTTTCGAAAATTTAAAAATCATGAATGCATGCATTATATTGATTTGTTTTCAATTTTTTTAATTTTTAATGTGTAATGTTACAATTTGAATTGCATGAAAGCAGAACAATCAAAGACAGCGGTTGGTAAAATATAAGCCTCTTTTGAGAAAGGGTGCACAATCTTGACCAGAACAGAATCATGTATATTGAAAATGCTTAGGAATCGTTATAATTATTATAATCACAAAAAGACAATTTATTAAAGAACAGGCATTTTCACTGTATGTCTGGACATATCCTATCAACATTCTATGTTGGAGTGAGCAATTAACTACTTCTTGTGTGTTTTGAAGTATAACTTTTTGATGATTCATAAAGAAATATAAAGTAATCAATAGATTGATTAAAATCCATTAATAACAAAAATCAATAAATAAAAACTAAAAGCACCGCTGAATTTAAACTTGACAATAACGGCAAGCTTAAATGTCATTAACATTCCTTTTGACTATGAAGATGTTTAGCACAATATTTTGTTCTAGTCAGGACAACATAGATTAAACCAGAAACATACGATACACGATCTGTTATTGATCATCCGATTGTTTTGGATATATAAATTATATAGTACTTTTATCTTTATACTTATATATAACAGTATTGTTCCATAACAAAGATGATCCGAATTTTTTTATATAGATAAATTATATAGTTCTGTTCAGGCGCGTAAGCAGGGGGGGGGGGTGGGGTTAAAACCCCCTTCAGTTTTTTTGTATGTGTATGTTTTTTGGGAAAACCACCCCCCTTTTTAGTTTTGATTTTTGTAATAATAAAAAAAAAAATCCTAATGGATGCCCTAAAAAAGATGACCTTACCCCCCCACGGAACGGAATGCCGTTCGGTAAATTTTTCAAATTTCGGGACAAAAAAACAAACATATGTCCTCTTACCCCCCCCCTCCGCGCTTATTCAGCGGCTGGCTGAGTCGTTGCGAAATCTTTGGCCCGACTTCAAAATTTTAACCCCCCCCTTGAAAAAAACCTGCGTACGCCGCGGTTCTGTTATCTTCATACTTAAATCTAAAAGTCCTGTTCCAAACGAAAAATATATGTGTTGAACTGTTCATCAATAATTATTAATAATTTGTTGATTTAAAAGCATAATCCCAGAATAACATTTGTGTGTGTGAACAATATGAAGCACCGGTCATTTATGAAAATCTGTTCGACAAACCCCTTCATTTATATTAAGCCAATAATCTAGTTATAAAGATGCCCTATCCACCGTCAAGTCCACGGTTAACTGATTTCACCTTAAAGCACTATATATGACCTTAAATTGCAAAGCTAACATTCAAAATGGATTAAATGCCCCTCGTAACCCTTTAGCACAGGTATCACATAAGAGGTTTGGACAGATAGATTTTTTTTTTATTTGCCTACCCGGCATCATTTAGGCTTTATGCTATTGTATCGCCCCAAAATTGCCCCTAGGTCATCAGAACTGAAATTGTTCAAGGATCACATTAAGGAAATAAATCAACGAAATACTTCAACGGAAGAACCCTTCTTTAGGTTCACTATTGATGACATGTGCACTGCGAAAGGACTAACCATTATCATGCCCTAGATAAGCGCATTACATGGCGTGTAATAATAATGATAACTAATGATGACTTTCTGTAACACGCACATGTCCATCACGCCGTGCTTCTATATATGTAACGCTGGGGCATGTCGGATACCCATTTACACCTGGGTGGAGAGTGGCAAATGTGGATCAATGCCTTACCACATTACACGTTATTGCCTGTTAGGAATTCGAACCCCCAATCGTTGGATTTATAGTCAAGTGAACAAACCACTGTAGCACGACACCTCTACACGATACTTACCAGCAACGTCAGGTATTGAAGAAGTACTCTCACCGCGGTCCATGCTTTCACATAGGTCTATCCTGCGGACCCTCTCCAAGGCTTGTCTTAAGATCCTTAAGCTTGTTTCCTGATGTTGTAGCCTCGACCATTTTTTGAGCATATTAAAGGTCCCTTCGTAAACTATACCGTGTCGGTTTGCGACCTTGGAGCCTTCGATATCGTATTGTGGGATTCCCAGTTCCAATCCTAGTTTGCCAGTTTCCTCATCTGTCTTCATATTTTCAGCAATGTGTGTCAAAACACGCCAGAAATCTTGTTCACTCATTGAGGACATGCTAGATGATGAATAAGAAGTACGTACATACAATCTTACTTACTTATTCAGGAACTACATCAATAAGCTGTCATTATTTTAGCTTTGAGATTTATAAACCATATTCAGGTTATATAAAAGTACTGGGTTTGGTAAAATACTCTATACTCTATATACCTTTACAATATTGGATGCTGAAGAACATATTATCAGGAAGTATTCGAAATTTGAAATTTGATATAAGAAAGTTAGGTACATGTAACTTGTTTTCTTTCATCTCCTAACGATGACCAAAGCATATTATTTAATATGGGTTGAGACAGATTAACACATTTATTGGATCAATACCGTAAACTTGGAAAGTTTTTTTTTCAGGGCTTTTCTATAGGCGAAGACCAACAGTTCTTTTTAGACTCTCAAAAAAACTGCGACTTGCTGAATCTCGATCACCCCTTCATTTTCTTATTTCTATTAATTCGACATCATTTTTATGAATAAGATCTAGAAAAACCCCGAACGAGTCTGATTTAAGTGTAATATTCAATTTCACTCCACGATATTTATCATCAGTAGCCGCATCAGTATTATCACTGCTTCTCTTTGGGACCCCGCTGTTATCTTTATCCCATCAACTTTCAGGTACACATTTTTACCTGGGTTGAGAGTAGCAAATGAAGATTAATCAACTCTTGGATTTGTGGTGAGGTAAATGGTAATTTATTAAGTTAAACCGGAAATCGAAATTCTTTTTGCGCAATTGATCGTGAGCCCGGTAGCCACTGAGCAGCGCCAGATCGACGTTGCTCTATCCCTTATTGTTGAACGCCAAACAAGGTAGCAGAAACTCCCGTCTTTTAACGTCTTTTGGTATGACGGCGCTATAGAAATGCCTATTATTACTGTTAGTATTATTATTTACACTTTGCCTATCAAACTCAAACATATCTCAGTTTTGATATAAAAATTATTGAGCAGCATACATAAAAAAGGGCAGAAAATAAATCCTCTCTAAGTTAAAAGTGTTTTGACATTATCCAGATAGATGAGTTTAACAAGTAAACGTTTTAATGAAATTTTGATTATTATTATAATTTACGTAGTGATGGCAAAATTATCAGCAAGGGTAAACAGATCCTCTTTTCAACCTTTCACTCGCATGCTAACTATGGCCCACCTTCTACTGTGCTCTATTCTTTGTCGATTGATCTTAACTTTATCTCCATGTAACAATTGTTATGACAAATTTGCTCTCACTTGTTCACCTTCGCGAGGTCAAACAGCTCTGTAAAATAAAGAGAACCTCTAGCAGGAAAAAAGGCGAAATTCTTGCATGTAATGTAGTGCAGGAGATATTAATAAAGTGATACCATATGATATATTGAATATAGATACAGATGCGTGGACTATAATCTATTCCCGCTTTTGTCACTTAATCGAGTGTGACAAGGTGGCTTCAAACTTTCAGAAACGAAAAGGATTAATGATAAAGTCGACTTGGGTATAAAATTATTAACAATTATTCACAGGTTGAAACTAAGGCCTTGGATGACATCTCTACCCATTACAGAAGTGCAGTGTAGCTCTTCCCTTATGGGCAACAATGCTATTTTATGAGGGGGGGGGGGGGCTGCAGTGTAGTCCCCTCTCAATGAGTACTCGTACTCCTCCGGGAATGTTTTACAGGTCGTGGTAACAAATAAAACATAAAAGCAAAGTTACGTATTCATGTAAACATATTAAAAGCTTAAAGAATTATCTGTATTAAATTTGATTTAGGTTGCTGTAGTCATTTCAAAGTCTAATGAAAATGAGTTGGAAATTATATGTTTTTAAAATTCTGAGTCCTGTCATTACACCAAACAAGTAAATTAGGGTTATCAGATTAGGGTTATCAGATTAGGGTTAACAGATTTCATATCATGTTGTTGATCTCTTTCCCTCTCTTTCATCAGTCAAAGAAATATTGCCTTTTCATTTCAGCACTCTGTCATTGTTATGGGAAACACAAACCTGGGGTTATTATTACGAGGGGGCAACTGGCCTCTTATTATAATAGATTTAAAAAAAAAAATAAAAAAAAATCGTCTTTTATGCTGTGAATGCATGACCTTGTAAATAAGGTTCATCCATCCAGGACTGACACAAAGCCTATTGAATTACTTTTTCATTTTGGTAAAATTAGGTTAGTACGTCGGATTTTGGACTGAATTTTTGACAAAGCGTGTAGTACATGAGCCGTACCGTTCTATACCATAGCAGACATGGGGACTATTTTCAACTATGGCATTGAACAGCTGTCATCATGCTGCAAAATAGATCCTAGCTAATATTTAATATTGATACAGACGTTTTTAATTATATATTAATTTGTCTAAATGTAGCAAAATTCTGCCTTTAAACTACTTTCCCAACTTTTTGCTGCCCCTCTGTCTTTTTCTCTTCATGTTTGGTTCTTTTTCCACATTAATGTGGGTGGGGCGGGGGTAGTCCGTTTCACGCACATCCACCAATCTTTACGGAACCTGGAGTTAATTGAGTCAAATTTTACATATTTGGTCATGTAGATTCCGGTATTAATAGCTTAAATCTAAGCTTTATCTTTTATTTTTGAAAGTCTACTGTCAATTTCTTTGATACCATCACATGTTCTTTTCTTCTTGCATTTGGGTTTAGTATATTTGTAAAGCGCTTAGTGACATTTGTGTTAAGCGCTATATACAAATTTAATATTATTACTATTATTTAGTAACATTTGTGTTTTCATTCACTAATCGAGATAAACACCTTATGCTGTTCGTGTGAAATGGCACAATGGACAGGCGAGCAGAGAGAACTTGAATATCATTAGACAAGGAGTTAGTAGTCTGTTCAACATAATTTAAGGTTATCTTGTAGACTAAAATGATATCTTATGGATTAAAACAAGTTTCTGTGAGAGCCTAGTTATATTAATATAATATATTATTATCAGTTTAAAAATATACACCCACACCCACACCACATTAACACCCCTACTCATTTATCTTCTCCTGAAAAATCAAAGTACACACACAATACATAGACATATCACCACCATTTTACGCCCACCCACACACGCACAACCAGATTTGTTATGTATAGTTGAAGCAACAATTAATATAAAAGGCTTTTTCTTGAAGTACTTTGATGTTGAAAGAAATATCATGCAATATCCTATATACAGAGGCTATCAATTTATTTTTTCTTCATTAAGTTTATGGAAAAAGGAACAATTTCAACCCGGTTTAAAATTTAGTAGAGTGGACTGGTTGTCTTTTATGAGTGTTTAGGTCCTTTAACAAGTACAGCCGTTAGGTACATAATGTTTAACAAGAGTGAAATTATACATTGAACGAATACTACTTTTGGGCACGGTGACGATGCTTGCCATTCTTAAGCAGCAATTGACTGCTTTACAGGGTTTGCCCATTAAAAGTGCAATCATTTCCATACTTGAATTGACAACAGTTGTACACAATAAAGTACTTTATTAAGGCCATTTTTAAGTAATGAATGAGAGCAATATTATTTCTTTTATTTGTGTCATAATTGTTATGGCAGTTATCATTAGGTTAGATGAAATGGATTTTAATGAAAGTCACAGATATCATGTAATATCGTTTTACTAACTGTTTATTTATAGACTGAGGAGGACGAATTCTTGTAAAGGTGAAATACTGAGAACTCTATCACTTTTTCACGGGAAGTGTCAACATAGAAAGGATAGATCTTAAAATGTCCTCATTATGCAAATTAAATATTCACAGGTTGTAAGGCCTGAATGACAGCACCGCTCTTTGAAGGGGGGGGGGGGGGGGGGGGGGTGCAGTGTAGCCTTTCCCTCATGAAAAACAATTTTATTTGAGGGGGAGGGGAGGATGCAGTGTAGCCCCCCTCTCAACGATTACTCGTACTTCTCCAGGAATAATCAAAGGCTACGGTCATAAATGAAACATAAATGAAAAGTTACGTATCATCATAAATATATTGAAAGATCATGGAATTATCAGTATATAAATTGTTTTCATTTTGCTGTAATCACTTCGGTAAATGAATAATCTGTGTCTCTTATTTCCGTCATCACATCAAACGTGTAAATTAGGGTTATCAGATTTCATATCACGTTGTTGATCGCTTTCCCTCGCTTTCATCAGTCAAAGAAATATTGCTTTTTCATTTCAGCCCTCTGTCATTGTTATGGGAAACACAAACTTGGGGTTATTACCGCGAGGGGGCAAACTGGCCTCTTACCATAATAGATTGTGTTTTTAAATAGAAAAACGTCTTTCATGCTGTGAATGCACGGTTTTTTGTAAATAAGGTTCAACCATCCAGGACTGACACAAAGCCTATTGAATTGCTTTATATTTTGGTAAAATTAGGTTAGTACGCCGGATTTTGGTCTGAAGTTTTTCTAAAGCGTGTAGTATATGAGCCCTACCCTTCTTTAGCCGAGCAGGCGAGTGGATTATTTTCGAGTATGGCATTGAACAGTTTTCATCATGCTGTAGGATAGATCCTTGCTAATATTTCAGATTAATACAGACGCTTTTCAATTTTATAGTAATTTGTCTAAAAGTAGTTCTGCCTTTAAACTACTTCCCCCTCTTGTTGCTGCCTCTCTATCTTTTCTCTTTAAGTTTGTTCTTTTTCCACATTTATATGGGGGGGGGGGGTCTCTTTTCACCCAAAACTGCCAATCTTTACTAAATCTGGAGTTAATTGAGTCATATTTTATCATCAGTTTTTTTTTCAACTGTTACACGTTCGATACACCTTTAAGAGTAAAAGACAATCTCCGATAAATCACTCTAATTATTTAAATATCATATAGTATAAATAACCCGACACTGATTTCTTGTCGTTTGCGTGTTATGACTGCATTACACAAGTCAAAAATCTTCCCAATCTTTCTACCTCTGGGCTAAATATTGATTTCCATATATATTTGGTGACAAAGATTTTAGTATTAATAGCTTAAATCTAAATTGTTCGTATTAGCAT